GCGGCATGTTGCTTTTGTGATGCCTTGCAAGAACTTGGCGCAGCAAGGATTTCTACCAAGTGGGATTCGTTTAGGCCTGCCAAGCGGGAAGAGAGCTCCGCCAGGAAAGGTGGAAAGATTGCTCCAAAGGCAGTGTTTCTTAGTTTGAGCCAAAATAACCTTTAGTGCTGATAAATTCCACGTATACATATGTCAATAAATGTTTGTATATATGTATGTTGACGGGGCGATGATCTGTTGAGTTCAATTGATCCATCCAAGGAAACGAGAGCACCATGAAGATGGTCGGATTGCCAACCATTTGTCCTTGTTGGAAGAGCGTGGGTTTGGACTTGAGTGTTGGGTTCAACGAAAGAAGGATAAGGCTTTTGGGCAAATCAGGGATGTCAAAGAGAACATGGTTGTCTTGAACATCGAGAGCGGACCACTCACAGGGTTGGCTCAGGTAAATCTTGACGCATTTCTCAAAGGTGAGTGGCGCGCAGCCAAGCCACCGGCTGAGACACAGGAGTTGGAAGGCTTTCAGAACCACACGGCGCAGCACTGTCATGAGGGATTGGTGAAGGTGACAGTTGGAGTCCTTGTTGAGAAGCTGACCTTCCTCGAGGGCAGTCACATTTCCGTCTACGATGGCCTCAAGGTCATGCTGAAGCCTTCAAAGAACATTGTCACGACCAAGTCTTTCGCCCCTAAGAAGCTTGTGCTGGTACCAACAACACTGAAGGTGGAGGTAAGGGAAGACCCTCCTGCAGGGTACGTCTCTGTCGGGCGTGTCGGGACAGACATGAGCTTTTGCTTGGGCCCCATGTTCGTGTTGCCCACCGATGGCAAGACAGGCTTTGTCTCGCCGTTTTGGCTGGTGCGTCAAACACACAAGTCAGATGAGGCAAATGTCGAGTTGAGCACAGTGATCGATCCAACTGACAAGAACAGCAAAATGTCAATCCCAGTTCTTGTCAACCCCCATGCGATCGCAGAGGGCACGGTTTTGATGCGGTATGTTGCCAAGCCACCAGTTGAGACAGAAGAGCTTGTCCCACTGGCATCCAAGAGGCGCAGAACCAAAGGTAGCTAGATAGTGTGAGGCTCTGCCACTGCTGAACAGATTTGTTGCCACCGAACGGTGCCACCTTTTTTCCCTTTTAAGTCGGCAGGATGGACTCGAAGCTTCTCCGTGAACGGAAAACGATTGGAGTCAGAAGAAATCAAGTTCCCCATCGATAGTGGTTTCAGGAAAGAGAAACTCACGTGTTGTAAAGCATTGTATGGCCTGCGCCTCTTCACGTTGTGGGCTGTCTCGATGGACACAGAACCTGTTGTTTGTAGAGTTTGTGAAGCAACTTCTTTTTGCAGGCGGTGAGGATGGTGCCATTGATGCGTCCGGTGGCCCAACGCGCATTGAGAAGACAGCTGGCTGTGAAGCAGTCAACACTGTTGGTGCATGGATATCACTGTGAAACAGTTATCACTCGCTAAAAGTTTTCACTGGATTGAAAGTTTGATGATAGTATGTTTTTAAGCAAACACATTGCAGAAGTGTCATGGAAAGAAACATGTTCTTTGAGCTGTTCTTGTACTGCTGGCAGGGCACATTAGTGCTCGCGCGCAGGGTGCCCTTCAAGCCCGCGTTGTGTAGCTTT